TTGAACAGAGAAAGGTGCCACATCACCATGAGGATGACCCTCTTTTATATAAATATATAGATTGGTAAAATAACCAATTGTTCTACTGAACTCGAAAAGAATTTAAGTCTATACTACTAGTTTACCTGAGCTACATCAACACCAACGATTTCAGTTTGACCCCCTTGATACAACAAGGTGATTGCTAAATAATTTGGCCTTTTGCTTGATTGTTCCACCCGAATAGCCAAATTCTTGTTTTTGAAATCACAAGGCACCCTGTCCCCACCAAAAATATTGTTCCCGCAATATTAGCTTTAGCATATAAGCATCAATCTGGAAATCTTATCCTATCATTTTTTCTCAAATGCAATCGTGAATATGTACCCCATGGCAGAGGTAAGATCTGCGTACATACTACCCTCCCAAACCTAGCGGGATTATACTTAGTTGTATGTGTAAGCATTGCATAATGCTCTGGACAGTGATGTTCACTTGTCTATCTAATCTAGTGGGGCATGCTAACATAGTTTTCTTTCTTAAAAGGTACGTACCTTTTTTATAATAAAAAACAAAGAATATTTGGCAGTTGTAACAAAACCACCAAAGCCAGCATCACTATCGTGTGTTAAGGATTTGGAACGCATTATTTGTGATCCCTCCATTTCTCTTGAATAGTTTGGCTTAAACTCAAACGATTACGCTAAGTGTTCAATTTTACACTCATGAGAAATTTGTACTCTCTGTCTTAATTAATGCCACATGCTTCACTTCCCGAGACCATATGAAATTTGACTAATATTTTGAAATGTACTATTTTTTATAATACTGACATGACAAATTATTTATAATACTTTTTATAGAATTTTTAATTATTTATATTTACATATTAAAATATTAAATCGATCTAATCCAATTTAACCCGGAAGATTAGTGGAATTAATTTTCAAAAAGCAAAAAATGTTAGCATAAATTGAGATGGAAAGAGTACATGGTAAGTAGTAGGCTAGTAGTGCACAGAGTAAGTGAAGGTAACCTATGGACCTTTTGTACTCGACATGGACGATACCGAGTTCGAGAAGGTCTTGAGCTTTGCCTTGATTAGCCATGGCGCTGAAAGTTCTGCTGCTGACTACAAAATCTGTCTGGTTGTTGGTATTCTGATCAGTTACAGTCACCGTTGTGCCTTCTTTTGAACAAAGATTTGAATTCTTGCATCTTATCTGCAATTCAATTAGGTTCCATAAATCATCTGGAAGAATATTGAATATATTTACAGTAACTAAAATTTCCAAATTTTTTTTTCTTTTGGTGTAATAAATTGAATTGCATATGCGCTATGGGACGAAAATGGTAAATTAAAACCTGATAACAAGCACCACAACGAGCTCCCTCTTTGTAGATACTAGGAACTGCTGCTGCAAGGCGACCCCCATTAAAGCCTATAGCTGAGGAGCCATAACCACAAGCACCAGCTGTAGAATTGGATATTCACAAGCAAACAGAAACTCAGATTAACAAGTGAAAAGAAAGAGTAAAATAGAAGGAGTATCATTTTGCTCAACAAGTTTTTTAAAAAGCTTTTTTTTTTCTAGCTAGTTCCAAAAAGAAAACAAAGGAATATATAGTTTCATCAAGATTATAAAAATAAAGAAACGAGAGGGAATTGAGTAGGGGTAGAAAATATAAAAAAGCTTACACTGAAGGGCAGAAGCCTTGGAAAAGTAAGCAACCTTTGATTGGTGGACACAGCGATCGCACGCTGTTGCAGAGGAGATAAGAACAAAGAATAAGCAGGAAACGAAAGGAAGAGCCATATTTCTTTGGTCAAGAAAAATGTATAATGACTGACTGATTGACTAAATGGGGAGTGGCGAGGTCTATATAAATATTCTGAGAGAACTGATTGAAATAGTAATAGTAGCCTCTTAACGCGTGCACTCAACGATATGTCGCGTTTGTTTTTTTAATTTGTTGCCATGTATAGAGCAAACAAAAAGGAGGAACAGTAAAAAAAATCCAACACAGGAGATAAGTAAGGAAAAAGGAAACACGGATACCTACACCAAACGCCAATACGCGGCGGGGAGTAATTCCAGGAAGGAAGTGAAGCCAGATAAAATGAATAACGATAGTGGCGGATATGCTGGCAAGTAGCACACTGAAGTTAGTGCGGTGTCCACACGCCTACTAACTGCCTACGCTCTTTTGCAACAAAAGTCATACTATATAGGTCAAAATCTGTCTTAGTAGTTGGGACTAAGTAACATCAAAAAAAGAGTCAGTCAAGATTGACTAGGAAATGGCAAAGCACGTGGTCGAGATGTAAAAGTTGGTCGATGTCGAGCGCTGAAAAAAAAGTTGTAACAGCTAATTTATTAGGGCAGGATATTAAAGAAAATATTTCATTGGATATTCTTTTTACTTGTACCATTAGGATTTATTGGAGGATATGTCCCAAATAAATAGAAAAAAAGATAAGGAATAGGGCATGTGATATTCATTGTGATAAGAGCAGACTTTGTTAAATGATTCTCTCTCTCTCTCGTAAAGATACAAAGACTATATTTTTATCAAGATTCTTGCTCATATTATTCCACACTTTTCCATCAGATCCGAGAATATTTCGAACGTTCTAAGATCTGTCTGTCACTCATCATTGTCAGGAGGAATAATCACCTAGCTTAGTATTTATTGGGTGAACCACTTCTCCTATTTACTTAAATGTCATTTATTGTTATTTATTGCTAGTCGCTTTTTCATTAATACTGATATCTTTCGAAACACACATTAAATGCTACTGTCGATTCTCTATTAGATCTGTCTAAACGTTAATCATTTTATTAGAATCCACATCTAGAGATATTATCCTTAACCAGGTTTAACCCGCTATTGTATAAATATAATCGTTTTAACGAGGAGTTAATTTTCTTGGTCAAACAATTTGGCGTCGTCTGTGGGGATCCATTTAAAATGCCACCCTATCTGAAAATATATGATGGCACGACCGACCTCGAAGACCATGTGACTCACTACGTCACCGCCGTGAAAGGCAATGACCTCGCCAAAGAACAAGTATCCTCTAGTTTGTTAAAAATATTCGGCGAGACCCTCACGGGAGGAGCATTAACTTGGTATTCACAACTACCTGCGCGTTTTATCGAAACCTTCAAAGAAATGGCCGATATGTTCGTAATGGCCCATGCTGGGGCCAAAAGGGCAGAGGCGAGAGTAAACGACATATTTGCTATTAAACAGTCTTCGAGAGAGGGATTGAGGGATTTCTTCGCCCGGTTCAACCGAGTAAGAATGACCTTGCCGAATGTATCAGAAGGGATGGCGGTCGCAGCTTTTCAAAATGGGCTGNGAATGGCGGTAGCAGCTTTTCATAACAGGCTGAGCAAAAATGGTTTGAGGGCAACGAGAAAATTATTAAGTCTGATTATGAATTACCCCCCCCCCCCAACTACTTGGGATGAAATACACAATGCATATTGCGCCGAAATCCGAGCAGACGAGGACAGCCTCAATGGGCTGACCCATCGACTGACCTCGGTGCAAGCCGAATCCAGAAAAGATCGAAGAAATGATATTAGAAGAGATCTCGCAACCTTGCGACCCAACCGGGAACGACATCTACCATATGTCAGAGCCACCATTGCGTCCTCCTCCCGCCATGAAGAGGGCCCGCCCCGATCAAGAATAGGGACTAACCGGAACGAAAGAGGTATGCCCCATTTACTATCCGCTCACAATTTTTGTGTGTCACCTACAGAAATAGTCTACGCCTTGGAGAAGCTCGGACCGAATGTGAAGTGGCTACAAAAGATGAGGTCAGACCCGAATACCAGAAAATCAGACACCCTTTGCGAGTTCCATCAAGAGCGAGGACACAAAATCGAGGATTGCATCGCCCTAAGACAGGAGGTCGTAAACATGCTACGACAGGGACACCTCAAAGAGTTGTTGAGTGACCGGGGAAGGACAAACTTTGCCATAGGACGTGAACAACATCAAGGACCGCCGAAACTGCCCTCGCCAACCCGCACCATCCACATGATCATTGATGGCGGCGACGATGCTTCTATCAATAGTGTGAAGTTCACCACAACCCACAAGCTCAAATGGTCGATCACCCACGAACGGTATGATGAACTTGAAGAAAGTATCATCTTCGATAAGTCAGATACTAACGGTTTGGATTTCCCTCACTATGATGCCCTTGTTATTAGTTTACGAATTTTAGATACCGATGTGAGATGCATTATGGTAGACGATGGAAGCGACACGTGCATTATCCACCCTCGAGTACTTGCACAAATAAAACTCGAGGATAATATAGTACAGCGCTGCATCACACTAACAAGTTTTAACAATGCAGTTGAGCGAACATCAGGCGAGATCACACTCCCCGTCCTAGCCGGTGGCGTCACTCTGGACACCACATTCCAAATCATGGACCAAGACACAACATACAACACCATAATAGGGTGACTATGGATACACACCATGAGAGTTATCCCCTCCAGCTTGTACAAGTCCTCAAATTCCCAACTCCATGTGGAATATTCAGTATACGAGGGGAACAATGCACATCCCAGGAATGCTACACATCGCTCTAGACTGTACAACCACTTAACAAGCAAAGGACAAACAAATAGAGGTATAACAATAAACAGGGTTGAGGTCGATATGTGATGACCGCGAGGACGTCATTAGAGACGCCGATACGATCGAAGATGCAGGATTGACCATAGAGGACCTCGACCCCGTTCAATTAGACAACAACGACCACAGCAAGAAAGCTTGCACCGGCTGCAAAATTCAGGAATCAGGTAAGTTTTGTTAATTCTTAACTGCTAACGCGGACTTGTTTGCTTTTAGCCATGCAAATATGCCAGGTATCCCAAAAGAAATCGCCACGCACAAATTGAACACCGATCCATTCCACCCCCCAGTGAGGTAGTTTAGGCGTAAGTTCAACTCCGCAATTAATGATGCAGTACGCGAAGAGGCAAAAATATTGCTGGAAAATGGCTCCGTCAGGGAGTCGAAATACCCCCAATGGGTCGCCAACGTGGTCATGGTAAAAAAGAAGAATGGAAAATGGCGGATGTGCATAGATTTCATGGATCTGAACAAAGCATGCCCCAAGGACTCATTTCCATTACCCCATATCGACCAACTAATCGACGCAACGACCGGGCATGAACTACTGAGCTTCTTGGACACCTACTCGGGGCATGAACTACAAGACGAGTAAATAAGATACACAATAATGAAGTAAGGAGAAGAAGACACGGGGATTCGATATAAAGAACATGCAAAACACGAATTGTGCCTTGGGCAAATCCACCCATCCTTCTGGAGGATTGTGATCCTCTTGCGCCATTTCCTGAACAACACCGAGTCTCGTCGGTTCACCCTCGATCACCTACTCTGCCTGTACAGTCCCTGAATCTTCCGAGGGGGACTGATCAAGCTTGTCCGTCGAGCAAGCAAGGCTCCTTTATCGAGCATTTACGAGGACCGAGACCGAGGCTAGTATGTAGGGTAGGTTCGTTTGGATGAAAATCGAAGACCTTATCCCCCTCGAGTTTCTGACGTTCCCCAAGGAGTGGAACGCATCCCGTAAGTATTGTCTTTCCGGGGTGTTTCTTCCCTTTTGTTCTTTTTCTCATCGCCTGTGTTTGTGGTCGTGCAACTGTTGCCCAAGTTCCCGATGCAATCCCCCGATTCAAGTAGTGGATCGAAGGAATTTATATGCAAATGTTGTACTCTTAGCACGCGTGGCGCAAACTCTCGAAGGGCAAATGGGAGGCCCGTTCTCATGGTGAGGTTCTTCCTTGAAATAGTTACTATCATGCTCTTTAACTTCTATAATGCTAACTTTTTCTTTTTTCTTATAGGTCTGCCTAATACCACCGAACTTAGGCCGCTTGATGAGGACGAGGATCAGTTTTTGCCTGCCGAGCCCTCCGTCTTGGGATAACCCGGGGCTGCCGTAGAGGAGGAGAAGAAGAAGAAAAAGAGAAATTTCTCGGGTTCCCTGGACCTCCAGGGGAATAGGAAGAAGAGGGCGGCCACCCGGTCCCGGAAGCCCAAGAAGAATACCGAGTCCAGGGCACCAGACCCTGGCTATCTCTACTGGTTAAGGGATGAGCCCGAAGAATATGGCATCTTTGTCGCCCATGGATCGACCCCTACTAGGAAGCAGGCAACTACCGAAAAAGGGGATCACAAGGTCGACTCCCTCCTGGCTCAAGAACCTGAAGGGGGGATAGAGGTTGTGACCTCCCGGAAGCAGCTCTTATTCCGAAGGAGGCGACCGGTTTCATTGACATCATGGAGATACCCTCCTATACCGAGTCCATGCTCGAAGAGGCCCAAGCGGGCAAAGAAATGTCAAGTGAAGAAGCATAGGGTTCAGACGATCCCCTCAACTCCTTTTTCGATGGCATGGACATGTCCATATTGGAGGATTTTTCCAGGCTGGGTCACCTGGAGATCCCGAAGAATAATGTTCCCTTGGGAGCTGGTGGGCTGAGTTTGAGTCCAAAATTAGTGAAGCAATTTGTCGCGCCTAGTGTGGACCCCGAGCGCAAGAGAATGGTCATTATTACAGTCCTGGAGGATGCTCGGGTCCTATCTTCTCTGGTGGGCGTAGCCAGCTACCTCTGATGCCTATTGACCGAGAAGGACCAGGCAAAGATGAACGAGGTGGGTACGTCAAGTCTTTTCAATGAGGCACAGCAGGCGCTGAACCGGGTAAGGCGTCAACACTTTTGTACCCCTTTATGAATCCCACTTAGGTTTTCTCACTACTTCTATTGTTTTATAGGTATTAGTTCTCCACCATGAAAGCTTCCTTCGGTACCACTTGGAAATTAATCAGCTCGAGTTCGATCTCAAAGAGCAGGTCCGG